ATAATCATTTTTGGACTTATATATAAAAATATGAACAAAATAATATTATATTAGATATAAAACGTAATGGGATAAGAAAAATAATATTTTCATAAATTTGTATATCTAAAGTATTAATTAATGTAAATATTAATATCTTAATATTGAGTATTTATTAAACATTGCGTCTTAAGGCTACTTGGTCTTAAGGCTACCAAGTTCAATTAACTCGATCATCTTTTAACTAGACGTCGTTATTAACCTATATTATCATAAGATTAATAACAGTTTGTATACATAGTTTATTAATCAAAATTGTATATATAAAATGAAAATGTATAATATAAAATCTATAAATGTTCCATACTATGTATACAATTTTTGAATAATTATTGATATTATAAAAATATAGATTAAATACAACATACAAAGAAAAGTTTGATTGTTTATTAAATTGCTAATCGAGTTTAATGGAAGTTGATCGAACTCTTAAACATTATCTTGAGAACAGGTTATAAATACTGTTTATTCCGTTGCATTAAATTAATATCAGAAAAAATATTCAACGTGTAAACAAAACTGATCGGTGTATCATATAACATTCTGAATGTCAGATATATTTTGCGATTAGTCCCTATGTGGCCAATAGTCACTAAGTATCTACTTGCAGTTAACGACTCGTATTCGGATTTTCTCAAGTAATCGGACGTTTTAAAAATAATTAAAAGGTAAATAAAAATTTGTTTTTTTCACAAATTTCAATGTATTACAAAGATGAGTTTCATTGTTTTCAGTTAATATTTAATAAATAGTTAATGAAATCGTTCATTTTTTAATATAAAACCTTTGGTACATTTATGAATTTCTAGAGAAACATATATATCAACCTTAAATAAGTGATGTAACATTAAAAATATTCATTATTCTATGTTAAAATTTCCGGTTAAAATTTCATTTCCGTTTCACGCCAAAACTCTTCAAAACAAGGAAGGATAAATAATATTGAAAAGTATTAATAAAATTAAGAAAACATATTAAAATAATAATAAAAATTACCAAAATGACTAAGATGTATGTACTGAAACGCGGTAAGTTCATATTATTTAGATTTAAGTTCATTTAATTTAAGTTTTAATATGTCCGTTATACTAAGAAGTCCTTTATTGTTATTAGATGGGCGACAAGAAGATGTTTGTTTTGATAAAATCACATATAGAATACAAAAATTATGTTATGGTTTAAATATGAATTATGTTGATCCTGTAAGTAAAAATGATAAGATTGTTCTTTTACAAAATTAAACTTCTATATTATAATTTAAAAAAACTTAAAGTTTTTAATACACTGTTGTCTTTTTCAAATTAATTTCTTTAATCTTTTTTAACTAATCATATATAGTTTTCTATATATAGATATAAATAAATATATATACAATATATATAATTAAATATATAATATATATATATATAAAAGAATCGTATCATATTACAAAAAGAATTTGTAATCTGTAATATGTTTATATTTTATAGTCTGCGATAACATTTCGTGTAATCCGTGGCTTATACTCTGGTGTTACTACTGTTGAACTAGACAACCTTGCAGCTGAAATTTGCGCAACTATGACTACTCAACATCCTGATTATGCTATTTTAGCTGCTAGAATTGCAATATCTAATCTTCATAAAGAAACAAAAAAGGCTTTCAGTGGTATAATTATAGTTCTTATTTCTATTTATCTTATATTTTATATTTACATTAACATAATTATTAGATTATATCACAATTTTTGATTTTAGATGTAATAGAAGATTTGCGAAATATAGTAGATCTATATACTAAGGAATCCAAACCTATTATCAGTGAAAAGTCTTATAATATCATAAAGAAACATGCAAGCAAGCTAAATTCTGCAATTATTTATGAAAGAGATTTTAATTATAATTATTTTGGATTTAAAACTTTAGAAAGGAGTTACTTAATGAGAATTAATGGCAAAGTTGTAGAGAGACCACAACATATGTTAATGAGAGTAGCTGTTGGAATTCATGAACAAGATATTGAGAAAGTTATTGAAACATATAATTATTTATCAGAACGCTATTTTACACATGCTTCTCCAACTTTGTTTGCTGCATGCTCTATAAAACAACAATTGTGCAGGTATATATATATATATATATATATATATATATATATATATATATAAACAATACTTTAATATATATTCAATATAATTTTTATTTCTTTATTAAGTATATTTATTTTTTCAGCTGTTTTCTTTTAACCATGAGCGAAGACAGTATTGAAGGAATTTATGAAACTTTAAAAAAATGTGCTTTAATCAGTAAATGGGCTGGTGGTGTAGGATTAAGTGTACATTGCATTAGGGCAAAAGGTACACCTATAGCTGGTAATTGTGGTGAAGCAAGTGGATTGATTCCTATGCTTAAAGTATATAATGATATGGCTCGCTATGTTGATCAAGGTGGAAATAAAAGACCAGGAGCATTTGCTATATATATAGAACCATGGCATGCAGATATATTTGAATTCCTAGATCTCAAGAAAAATACTGGTAATGGTTTAATATCATTTTAAAATTAGTAAAGTATAAAAAGGAATAAAAATACTTTTCAACGAAATTTTGTTCAACTAATAGGAAAAGGAGAGCTTAGGGCAAGAGAATTATTTTATGCTTTATGGATCCCAGATCTGTTTATGAAACGTGTTTTGGATGATGATGTTTGGAGTTTAATGTGTCCACATGAATGTCCTGGTTTAGCAGATGTTTGGGGAGAAGAATTTAATGATTTATATACTAGGTAACTAAATTGTATTAATGGATAACTTGGATAAATTAAAAATATATGAAAGTGAAAATAAAAAATATTACTAAAGGTATGAAGAACAAAAATGCTATAAACGTCAAATTAATGCAAGAGATTTATGGACTGCTATACTTAAATCCCAAGTTGAAACTGGAACACCATACATGCTTTACAAAGATCATTGTAATCGTAAATCGAACCAACAAAATATTGGAACGATTAAGAGCAGCAATTTGTGCACAGAAATCATTCAGTATTCAAGCCCTGATGAAATTGCTGTATGTAATTTAGCATCAATTGCTGTAAATATGTTTGTTGAAAAAAGTACAAAAACTTATAATTTTGAAAAACTAAAAGAAATAACTAAAGTTGTGGTTCGTAATTTGGATAAAATTATTGATGTTAATGATTACCCTCTTCCAGAGGCAAAAGTCTCTAATTTAAAACATAGACCTATTGGTAAGATTTTTTTCAATTATTATTTATATGATTGATTTTTATATAATGTTTTATATAATATTGTTTTATTTATTAGGTATTGGAGTACAAGGTTTAGCAGATGCCTTCCTGTTAATGCGCTTTCCGTTTGAAAGTGAAGAGGCTCAAAAACTTAACATCCAAATTTTTGAAACAATATATTATGGTGCATTAGAAGCTAGCTGTGAAATTGCTCAAGAGAAAGGCTATTATGATACATACGAAGGAAGTCCTGTTAGCAAAGGAGTAAGCTTTCACTTTTATAATTTATATTATCAAAAAGAGATCATTTATTCTGATAAAAAATTTGAAATATATTAATATATTTAGATTCTACAATATGATATGTGGGATGTTACACCAACAGAGTTGTGGGATTGGAAAGCATTGAAAGAAAAAATTGTAAAATATGGTGTAAGAAATTCTTTATTAATGGCACCAATGCCAACTGCATCTACAGCACAAATTCTTGGTAATAATGAATCAATAGAGCCATATACAAATAATATTTACTCAAGGCGTGTTTTATCTGGAGAATATCAAATTGTCAATCCTCATTTATTGAAAGATCTTATTGAAAGAAATCTTTGGAATGATGAAATGAAAAATGAAATTATTGCAAATAATGGTTCTATTCAGGTCAGATTTATCTTATTTAATTTTTTTATTATCGATTACATGTTCATGTGATCATACAATTACAATCGCTTTGTATAAATTTCGATGAAAAAGATTCTTCATGTCTTTTTAATAAATGTATTTATCCCGTTTTTTTTATAGGATATTAATGATATACCAGACGATTTAAAATTACTTTATAAGACTGTTTGGGAAATATCACAAAAAACTATTCTTAAAATGGCAGCAGATCGTGGTGCATTTATAGATCAATCACAATCTTTAAATGTCTATATGGCTAAACCAACAGTAGAGAAACTTACATCCATGCATTTTTATGGCTGGAAAATTGTAAGTTTACAAAAAATATATCTATATATGTGATTAGAATATTATACGACTTATTTTATTTATAGGGATTAAAAACTGGTATGTATTATTTGCGTACAAAACCAGCTGCAAATGCGCTTCAATTTACCGTTGATAAAACCAAATTAAATAAAGCGAATAAAAATTCTAAAGATGATTCGCACAATTCAAGTATTAAGAATGAAAAAATGGATAAAAGTTTATTAAAATCAGAAGAAAATGATTCTAAAGAGAACGACACTAATGATGCAAATTCAATACTTATATGTTCTCTTGAAAATGGTGATGCTTGTATGGCTTGTGGATCGTAATAACCTAGATACGTATGTTTAGTATTATATTTTTATATTTTGATTGTTACGTTTATACTACTAAGTAGATATAGTTACATAGAATGAGATCTATAGTTTTGTGTATTTTTGGGAAGACTTTTAAAAAGTTTTCATTTTATATATTTTAGACGTATAAGTATACTATAAGAATTTAATTCTAATATTTTTTTATTATATACATATTGTTTTGTTATTGTCATATGCATGAAAACAAGAACGAATAAAATTTTTATCGGCAAATAAAAATGCATATCATTTTAAATTTGATTCAATTGTAAGTTTATAATACCCTATAAAAAATTTAACAGATATAAAGTTCCTAGAAAAGAAAAGAGTACAAAATTGCTTATAGATGTCGCACTCGTGTATCGATATATGAAAATTTAGAGATATATATCGATATTGAGGACTTCAGAGATAGAATCACAGACAGCTTTCCCGTTATGCGTTCGGAACATAGTAGAATGTTGGTAGGCGCTAATTAAGTTCATCATTACGTTTCCAATATTTATTAATAAGATGAAAAATGACTAAATTTTGTGAAGAAAATTGCACAAGTGATACTTCATTTCATGATACGAAAAGATACGAATAGAACAATTCCAATCGTGTAACTTTCATACGCATGCGTGAGTTGTGTATATGTGTAATTTGTGATACACAATTGAGTAGAATAATAGAATTTATGCGTAAGATTTTATTTTCTTTTAAACATAAAAATATAGTATATTAAATATTTAATTATATTTATATATTTAATTTTCTTTATATTATTTTAATACCAAAAAAGAAGAATCATATATCTTCGATCTGGAACGAAAGGTGTGCCCCTTTATATAGGCCATTTTGTTGTGCTTTGAGGTTTAAGGGAATTGTTGCTTCAGGCGCAAATAGGAACAAGTAAATATTACAGTGATAACAAAATTTTGTTTTCATTTATAAGAAACAAGTTTTGCTACAAGTAACACTCTTTCTAATAATAGTTTCTTAATATGTAATTAAAAAGATATCGTCTTTTTCTATAATATGTAGACAAATAGATTTATAATAATTCAGGAACAATTAAAATTATAATTTTTATTTTGGAATTGATTTGTAGCACTGAAGATAATGGAGGAAATCATAGGTATGTACATATTATTGTTTATTTGTACCTGTAGGCAAGATCATAATGTTATACTACATTATTTAGTATTATTACATTCTGGCGATTAACTTCTATTTCAGAAATTGTAAAAGTTGAGGAAGAAATAATATTGAATGATGAGACTTCTCAAATCCTGCTTGGTAATTATTATATCCTAATTATATCATTAATTTGCAATTTTGTAAAATTTTTTATTAAATTAAAACTATTTATTGTAGATACAGATGGCTCAGAGAAAGAAGTTGTAATAACTACTGAGGATGTATCTGGCAATGTAACAGGTATATTTGTATATATTACAAATATATAATCATTGATTTCTTGAATATTTTATTATTTATATTTCCAAGATTTTTTTTTGTGATATTATTATTAAAATACTACTTTTTATTAATCCTTCTTATGTTATTATTTTGTTATTATTATTATTATTCTTATGTTATTATTTTGATCCTATTTTCTAACATTTATTTTTTTGTTTTACTTTCTATTTCATTGTTATATTTCTGTTTTGCTCACAGCTATTTCTCAAAGTAGCCAAATTATACAAATTATAACAGATTATGAATGTGTAACATGTCATCGCATTTTTCAATCAGAAGATGTAAGTTATAATTTTATTTTTATATTATATGTTATTCATTTAATTTGTGAATATAATACATTTTGTAGTAAAAGTATTTCAATACAATTTTCTAATTATTATCCATGATTAATATTTCTGTATAGATGCTAAAGGAACATTTAGATGTCTGCAGAGAAGAAGATGATTCTACAAATATATTGGAATTAGGAAATTTAGATAACTATGATTCTGAGGATGAAGATGATGTTGATGATCCAGATTACGAATTCAATGACACAAATATTGAAGGTACATATTAATTATTAATATGATAATTATTTATATAATACTTTTTTGATAATAGTAATTGATTTATTATATCAAATATATTCTAATACATGATTATATAAATATGATTTTAGATACTAAAGCTCAAAAAAATAACAATGAAAAGCCAACGATCAAACCTGTACCAGATACACAATGTCATTGTTGTGCTGAAGATTTAAAAACAGCACATAGTGGTGGTGAATTTAAATGTTTAGAATGTGAACTATCATTTAAAAAAAATTCATCTTTAGAAAGACATAAAATAGTCATACATTGGAAGTGTGAATCTTATACCTGTAGTGATTGTGGATCAACTTTTCGTGATAAAAAATCGTTAAATAAACATCGTTATACTACACATGTGAATCGTAACATATTCAAGTAAGTATATATAAATTTAATAACTATAACGAAATATTTTTATTTTTTTAATTTCTAGATGTGATACCTGTGATACGTATTTTTCGCGTAATTATCATTTAAAACGTCATAAAATGCAATCTGGTTGTCATGGAGATATACGTAAAACTTTTGATTGTCAAGTGAGTATATACGTATAATAATATAATATGATTTAATAAGCAACGTGCGTGTTTTGACGTGATAAAGTAAAAATCTATAATTAATATAATAATAAGATCTTTTTCCTTATTCATAGGTTTGCCAAAAAGTTTTTACACGAAAAGATAATCTACGTGAACATTTGCGTACACATGCTGGAGCACCTCAAAGACAGAAAAAACCATGTAAATATTGTTCTAAGGAATTCTTTACTACTCAACAATTAATAATACATGAACGATTACACACTGGAGAAAGACCAGTACAATGTGATTTATGTCCGAAGACATTTCTGTCTTCTCTTGCACTAAAAAAGCACCGTCGTGTACACACAGGAGAGAAGCCATTTGAATGCAAATATGTAAGTACTTTTTTTAAGGTCATCTTTGTTCATAAAAACATTTTCTTTATTCTTAACTAGGGTTTAAATGTATAAAATTACTTATTTTTAACACATATATAATACGAATTACTGCTCATTTACTTTTCTAATTGTTTCAACAAGCAAACATTACAAGCTGGATAAATTGAGGTAATATTTATTAAAATAACTCACTATAATAATTCTTAATAGGTAATTTTTAATCTATTTAATTTGTATATGTGTACATTTACAAATGTATTTAATTTATATATTCATGAAATTTATTATCATATTTTTTATAGTGTCAAAGAAAATTTGCGGCTCGTGAAACATTAAATCGTCATCAAAGAACGCACACTGGAGAAAAACCTCATGTTTGCCAGTATTGTGGAAAATCATTTATTCAAGCAGCACAATTAAGAGCACATGTTTTTCATCATACTGGTGAAAATGGATTTTATTGTGATATTTGTGGTAAAGCATTTAATAGAAAAGCTCGATTGAATGTACACAAAAAATTTGTACATGAAGGTGCAACACCATTTACATGTGAAATATGTGAAAAAGGTTTCACCCGAAGAGAAGATTTAGCAAAACATACATTATTGCATACAGGAATCAAACGTAAGAAAAAAAATTCTATTCATTTAAATTTTATAAATAATATACTATTTAAATTTTAACAATTTTTTAGCATTTAAATGTGATAAATGCTCAAAGGCCTTTTCTGCAAAATCTTCATTACAAGCCCATCTCAATACTCATAGGCGTGAACCACCTCAATCATGCGTTGAATGTAATCGTGTTTTTATAAGACAAGATTGTTTAATGAGACATGTCCGAGCTAAACATCGAGAACTTTTGGAAGATGTAATGGATGAAGTCGAAAGAAAGCATTTACAAACACAATTATTTAATATCGCTTCTATTGCTGCAGAAAAAACAAAAGCAGGAGAATCTAAAGTACTTTCTACAGACGAATTGCTAAAAGCAATTGCAGATCTTTTAAGGATACTTATCGACGAAGAAACTTTACAGGTATTGTAAAATAATTATAATAAAATGTAATGAAGTAATCTAAAATGTAATACTATTTCATGATTTTATAGTTATTTGGTTGGCCTAACGCTCCTATTCAAGATATTTTAGAGGCCGTGATTAGACGTTGTGGCCATGAACCTCTAACATCAGATAGTTCTTTACTTTTCAACGAAAGGTTAAGAGCAAACGTAAAACTTTTATTTACAGTCGTTATTGAGGATGAAACGGTAAAGTCACTATTAACAACTAAAACCGTAGATCACGTTATTCTTCATGTTTTGGAAATTTCGCAAAAATGAAGTTTTGATGTATGTAATTGTTGTCTAATTATACATAAATGTTTGTTATTATATTAAGTAATAGTAAAAGTGTTACAAAAATTTTGATAGAATTTGTCTGATATCAAATTTGCAAATGGTTAATACTTGGATAAAGAAATAATAGTATTATACATTTAATTTTATTATTGTAAACTTATTTTTACTGCAATTGTAATGTATTTATGCATTACATACTTCTATGAATATGTTTTAAGGTTGACATAAATACTCGATACTAAATATGTATTATTTTATTACTATCCAGAAGGAGTAAGAGATACAGTAATTATTGTTAAATTCTGTAATCATATCATAAAATACATTTCTTACAAGTATATGTACTTACAACTGTATTAATTCAAATAGAATTACTATAAAATAATAGAACTATAAGTTAAAGAAATAATCTTAACAATTTCTATTAATATTTTAATGAAATTTCAAATTCGCACGTGTGTATGGTTCAAATTTTTAAGGCTTTATAATAGTTCATCATCCCCAGTTTTATAATGGTTTACGCCAATAATGACTACAGGAGTAATTCTTGATAAATTTTGATAAACAAGGTTTCATTTTAAAGATGGATTTAAGTTAGAAGATAACTTTCTAAATTTTTATGAAAGCTTTATTTTCTTGGAAAAAAAGTGTCAAAGAATGGTTTTTTTTAAATAGTTTATACATAAAAATAAAGCTTTTTCAAAAATTCAAGAAAGTGTATTTTCTATTCTACTTATGTTCAACATTATAACCACATTTAAAATTCAAAATAAGCATCTGCGATCTTCTTTTTACTGTTCTTGCCATTATATTTTATATGTTATATTTTATATGTCATTTTTATTATTATTTCATCGCAAGTAATATTGAATTATTGGCTGCTTAAATATTGCTATTTGTATAAGTTTAACTAGAAACAAAAAATATAAAGTTTGTACAGTTAACAAACACTTTTCAAGTAATCAATTTTCAAAGAATTATAATGTGGCATATTGTTTTTTTTTTGTTTTTGTAAGATGTACTATTATTTTTACTACATACAAAAATTTCTATCGTACATTAATTCGATTTTTAATTTAAGCATGAAAAGGATATAATCTAATAAACTTACACTCTGATGCAATAAATGCATAGTGGGGACAATGTTTCTGATTGTGCGTGTAATTCACATTTTTTCCGTATTTGTCGCTGAAGTCACATACTATTATTAGCAAAAGGTGGTGAACAAAATGTCTCAATCAAAAGGAATTAGATTAGGATCAACCAATCATTATACTTTAGAAAGAAATATGGAGACTCCCCTATTCTGTTTGTCATTCATTGTAAATTATTCGTTCTTGAACGCATCGTAACCTCAATAGAAATATGTTTACTCTGCAAATACATCCTCATGGAAATAGGATTTTAAAACCACTGCTACGTGACTGTATATTATAATACCAATGACGTGTAAATTTAATATATGTATGATTATACTTGATCATTATCAAGTCAGGATTATGATGGAAGTATTGGACACATTCAATATTGCAAGTTGTACAAAAATGGATTGTGGTATATATTTCGAGTAGGAAACTCATGGGCTTTACTATACGAACAGCTACTTATGTGTATTGTTCTTGTGTAACAAAGTATCTGATTCATATTTAGTCATTTATATTTTCAACTTGTTAAAACTATTTTATTTTAAGTCATATTAACGAGTGAATAATTTAAGTTATACATATTTGGCTTTTTCTGTAATAAAGCTTGTGCAATATAATTTTGCAAAAGGTATGTATTTTATTATTGCTGCTTAAACGAACTTTAATTTTTATTTATATTGTCAAATAAGAATTATAAAATCTATTTTATAGATAGATTTTCTACATTCCAAAATATGGAGTTTCCAAATTTAGGAGAACATTGCTCAGAGCAAACTTGCAATCGTTTAGATTTTTTACCTCTAAAATGTGATGCTTGTGAGGCTATATTTTGCACAGATCATATATCATATATAAATCATTCCTGCCCTAGTGCATATAAAAAAGATATACAGGTGCCCGTGTGCCCATTGTGTAATACACCAATACCACAGAAACGAGGAGATCCTCCAGACTTGGCTGTGAGCATGCATATAGACAGTGATTGTCAGTCAGATATTAGAAAAGATCATAGAAAAATATTTTCTAATAAGTGTTCATCAAAAGGATGCAAAGTAAAAGAAATAGTGCAGGTTAAATGCAATGACTGTGGCAATAATTTTTGTTTGAAGCATAGACATCCCAGTGATCATGCATGTATTGGCAAAGAAGAAGCAGTTAAACTTAAAAGATTGAGTGCCCTGAATAAACACTCTATGGTCTCTCAGAACGACAATCACAATAATTCTATTGTATTCCAAAATCTTCAAGGCACCATGAGCGAAGATGAAGCTTTGGCTAGAGCATTACAGGCTTCATTGCAAGACGAAGGAAGAAATAAGCGACAAGGATTACAGCCAGTGCCTTCTGCGCATAGAAACAGATGCAGACTTTCCTAATTGCAATTCACTTTTATCAATTTTATGCATTTTTAGATAAAAGTACTGCTTTTTAAACCTTCATTAAAAGGTGAATATATCTTTCTAACTTTTATCAAATTTTATTAATAATCATACTTCATAAATAAGATTTTATACCTTTTCATATAATACTTAATATTTCTTGATCACTCATAAAAATGTGCATATTACAATTCTAATAATTTTATTCACTTTTTTGACTAGAACAACAAACACTAGATAAATTAATAATAATCCATTTCTTATATATACAATAAGAATTAAGATTATTTTTCATTTTGAAAATATATTTAATATCTGAAGTGCTCATTAATGTATATTTTTACACATATGAATGTGTTTTCAAATTACATTAACTTTTGTAATTATATATAATACAGATTTTACATTTTCATAAGCTTTGGCAGACAAAAATTTCAAAGTTGTATGTTATTAGATATGTCAGTATCCAGTGCCTTAATAGATCGAGTGCATGTATAAGAAAATGGGCATGAATGTACATATATACATATATTCGTATAAAAATTATCATAATGTAAAAATAAATGTATATAAAATGAAAAATTAAGTTATTTCTTTTTCAGAGTACATTTCTACTGTGTCTTACATACAATATTTCAATAATTAAGTAGATGTACCCATTTTCTACAATTTACGCACATTAGAATATGAACAATTTTTATGCGAAAATAATACTTAATTAAATACCAATGAATTACAGCTGTATCAGATGCTAAATCTTTTGAATGTGTCTTTAAGTAATATGCATATTCAAATATCTTAGATTTAAAATATTTTATATATAGCATGAATGTTTCATTATTTATGGTATTTAAAATGTTAGTTATACATTTAGTTTAAATATGTATATTTAAGAAAGAAAAAAGAATATGTAAATAATACTCATAAATTTTACAATCTCCAATATTATTATTAGTTATATCACCATTTTATATAAAATCTGTATTCCTAGAATTAGTGATCATATCTGTGATCATATCAACGACATTTTCGTAGTTTTAATTTATCGATAACAATAATTATAAATAAATGATAAACACCTCTAGTATTTTGTTATAACATACAGCTGCAATTTCCTTCATAATTTTTAAATATATATCTTAAAGCTTTATTTATGTAATTGTAATTTTTATAAATTATATTATTTTCTTCTGTAGACACAAAATCATGATATTACGTAACTATTCTCTTGAGATATAAAGTTCCTAATAATTAAGGAATCAATATGAATGTGAAAATAATGTTCACTGCATAAATGTTCTCATCTTAATATAAAAGCTAAAAATATTTGACTTTATAGATATTTTACATTTATTGAACTTATGAATATTATTAAATAGAATATCAAATTATATTTGTAATATATATTTAAATTATAATCTGGGGGTAAAATTTGCAAAATAAAAGTTGTTTTAAAAATTATTACATAATACATTTTTATTTTTTTTTTATTCTTTTATCGTAAAATAGTTTATATTAGCATATTGAGTGTGTCATTAATATACTTATATTTTATGATAGTAAAGTACTTATAAAGAAAACATTTTGTTATTATAGAATATTAATTTTATTAAATGTCCAATAGCAATATGTACAATTATTGTTTTATTCCAAATTAATAATTATTAAAGTTAATATCAAAGTTGAACAAAGAAAAATATCTTGTGTTACATCTCACTTGTATTACACAAATTTATTATAAATTCTAATAAGATGTTGTATACATCAATTCACAACAGTACAAAAATTGATTTAATATATTTAATAGAATTAGTATAAATCCTTGAGTTATTTTATTTTTGATCAGTTTTTTTAGCAAGAATTATTTTTATACAATTCAATTTTCTCTTACGGATGTATTACACTACAATATACATTTTGTAATATCTATACAATGTGATGTTTTCAATTATTTGAATAATATTCCTTTTATATTATTCCATGTCATCTAAAAGTTCTATTATTCATCTTTTAATGAGTATTATGTTCTATGATACTAATTGCATATATAACAAGTAGTATTCTTTATTTAAATACAATATCAATAATAAAAGACTTTTTGTAAATATATATTTAGAGTTTAATTAAATAATTACTACTCAATTGTATATTCGCGTCGTACTAAACAAGATATACACTACATAATATTTTTTAGAATATATCATTCTAGAAAAGCCTATAATGTATACAACTTATATACTCATTAATATCTATAACGAATTGATTTCATGACGTGTTATTAATCACATTAATAAAGCGTATATTAGATATTACAGTCTATTGGGTATAAATAGATTGATATTGTGTACATTATATAAGAAAATTTACATATAATGCACCTTATTTTCCAACTTTTCCTAATTTAGTATCAGTTTTAGGATTAGCTGTAACATTTTGTACAGAAACAATCAGTTCATTAATCTTTGTTTGCAGATTCCTCAAATCATGAATGTATAACAATGTTAAACCTTTTGCAGCATTATCTAGAACCACATCGCCTAAACTGGTACCAGATTTAGTATCCATTATTGGAAATGGCTTGCCTTTTACAATAATAGTATTAGGATTTGCAATTGCTGCTGCATTTAATCGATTACATACAAGTTTGCTACAAGCTTCAAGCGTAGTAAGATGACTAGAATGTTTTGGAATATTTAAGAGTTTGGCTATAGCATTGACACCATTTTTAAATTCATTGCTGTAAACTAAAATGATAAAAATAAAATATTAATACATTCTGCAATATTGTATTAGAAATTGAACATTGAAATAATGTCATTAACTTACAATCTAAATTATCTAATGGATTTGATGATTTTAGACTCGGTATTATAGATTCTTGTTTATTTTTCTTATTTCCAGTAATTTCTTGGTATTTTTTACCTATGATAAATATAACATTTTTGTTATATATATTACATTTACATTTCATTTATATATATTAGCATAGCTATATTTTACTTACAATCATCTGCGTATTCTAAATTGACAGCGCGTCCTATGAGCCATTCCAGCTGATCAAGAGGATTAGTTGTTACTGGACAATCTATATCCTTACAATATTTTTGGAAGACTTCTGGCCATTTATCAGATTTAATATTTCGTAAATCATTGCGTTTTTCAATTGTATAAAGTCTAATTTTTTGATCTTCCAACCATATGACAACCTTACGAAAATGTTCGGTATCTAGAAAATAAGTTCATTTTACATATTTCTTTTAAAGTTTATATATTAGTATTCGTATAATAAGAAATATTAATAATATCGACAGTTTTGTAGAGCAATTTTACTTAAAATTGTGAAACGTATGTTATTCGTTAGATGTCTTAATAACTATACATAAAATAACTCACTGTTTCCATTGACTTTATCCCATTCCAAATATCCTAGAGCTTTTAATTTACGATTAAACATAGTAGTCTTTCAAAAATAAGATTAATTATCAATAGTATAATCGTAAAATTAAAGAAACTGTATCTATAACCGGCAGTGTTTCACGTCAGTTCTTTTTTATTGATAACATAGAGAAACACTAGTTGGCGCTGTGCGCTGTTTACTCGTTCCTTGGGAAGAGGTGATATTTCAAATATATTTAATTAATTTATAGGTAATGTATTCTTTTTCATATTTAAGTTATTGTATATCAAGATATTTTTCAAAGTTCTCCTGTATAATATCGAGACTAGATAAAATTAAATATGTAGATGTAAATTACAGTAACTAAAGTTTGGTAACCTTGATGATACGTCTTTATCAATACTCACACAGATCGTACATATATACTATGTCACTTATATATAATATTAGATTCGTATATATGAATGATAATGAACAAATTCGTAATCTATTTATTATGTCAATATAATATGAAATTTCATTAGTTCATTTGATATCTACTACAAATTTATTTTCAAAATGGCGCTTAATGAAAATGCTGCCGTGCGATTGGTCAAAAGAGACATACATATATGGAGAAAGAAGAAAGTTCGAAAGTTTGTAAGGAGAAGAGGGAAGTAGAAATACGTGTATTACAAATAGAGAGCTCGAAATAATCGACAAATGAGAATCGATAATCGTTCTCGAATGATTTTTCAATGATTCGCTTTCCATTCTAGGTATCGTGTATAACGTGCTCGTTGGACAAGAGCGAGTTGCGCGATCCGTGTGCGCAGTCACATTTCTATCTGGCAGCAGAGTGGGATTGCAGACTGCAATGATGGCGGCCACCAGCGAGGAACGGATTGTTATGGAGCCTTCGAGGACAAATTGTGGACAGACTCAAGTCGTGGACCGTCTGAAAATGCTATATCCGATGGTCAACGAGGAAGAGACGCCATTGCCTCGATCCTGGAGCCCGAAGGACAAGTACAACTACATAGGACTATCACAAAATAATCTTCGCGTTCACTACAAAGGTACGTGAGCCCTCCCCTGACCTCGTAGCAAGATGCAACTAAAACCAAAGGAAAATCCATGATTTTTATTTAATTCAAACATCTCGATCTTAATCGAATATTAATTCGTCAGAATGATACGATCGACTCATTCGAGCTGATCGGGCTGGTCCCGGACAGAAGCGAAATATTGATTGAAAATGGCAGAGCTCTTTTTTCGCGTGTGTCAGCGACCTAAACAAAGGAATCAGCTGATCGCTCGTGGTCTCTCTGCGTCGATGCGAACCTTAACATGCCTCGTGCTGGTTCATTCGCTACGTTGAGGACCTTCGTCGTGTCGTCTTCTTTCGTTATGTCGCGAAAGTTCTATGTCTATCGGTGGACATGCTTAATTTTGCCTTGCTATTGTTGCTACTGATGGTGTACGCAAAACGTGTGCATGAATCTCTTAACTCATACGAGCATAGAAAAAAAATGTGCAGAGAAAACGTACTATATAGAGGAAAAAAAAAAGAAAAAAAAAAGACTGAGATACACGCACCGATCTCTCTCAATGACAGCTGTGAGTGCGTCCGAACGTTGCATGCCATGTACATATATTGCAATGCGTATGCGTGTAAAGTACGTGTATAAGCAGAATAGGGAACCGAGAAAGAAGTAACACGACGGTTCCTTTGTAGAAAAGAGCTTCCAATTTCGTTCTTATCGAATGTGCTTAGTTTCTACCTTGATAATTATCATCATTAATAATATCCTGTTTCCTTTCTCGAATTAATCGATCATGACCGCAACTATGACGAAGAAATGATTACGCTTTTTCGAAAAATCTTCGATTTTATAGTTCATTTTACATCTGCCTTCAGTCATTCTTTAACTTTTTTTATACGAACTTATGCAGCATGTGCCCGAGTACAGAGGGTAAATATACATTCATATAAGACAAAGGATATGTATATATATATACACACGCATATGTATATATCGCTTGATAACTTATCGATGGAAAGGTACCTCGTTTATAACATTGTAGACAATCGTATTCGAAATGTCTAACGAACGAAAAACAACAAATAAACCAATGAGAGAGAGAGAGAGAGAGAGAGAGAGAGAGAGAGAGAGAGAGAGAGAGAGAGAGAGAGAGAGAGAAGAGAGAGAGAGAGAGAGAGAGAGAGAGAGAGAGAGAGAGAGAGAGAGAGAGAGAGAGAGAGAACGTTCGTATCTAAAATTGGATACCAAAGAATTCATAATTATGTTACGACCAGTGAAACAGAAAAGTCAATAAATTAATATAAACTAATTCTACCCTATCTTTATTGATGAATTCTCGAAGCGTGAAACGTACATATGATTTTGCGGAACGCAATGCGACGATGACGACGATGACGACGATGACGACGATGACGACGATGACGACGATGACGACGACGACAACTACCGACAACGACGATGATGGAGAGACTCCTTTGTAATCGAAGAGACGATAAGAACACGCGAGGGGTACGCATACTTGTGTGCAACGAAACTCTTTTATTTCTTTTCAGTTTTCTCCTCTCTTTATTTTGAAATAACTATGCGTAGAGATGTTTAAGCATACTCTTCTACTCGATATATATCACAGAGTTCTGACAGAAACATGTATGTAAGTCGATAGTCGATACTATGAAATGTCCAATTCGCGGATAGGAAATCAACGACGGCAATATAGAGTTATGTCAAATATTATTCCACAATATTTTTGGAACAACAGTCTCATCGCGAAATAGTGCGACAGAAATAGCAAGGTCATTTAATCGTTTTGTGTCTTATTGATTGTGTTTCGTGATTATGAAGAATTATGAGGAAATGCAAAGTGCTATTGTTTTTATTACAATGGAATTTTCCGATATGTTTTAATCATAATGACGTCTTTTATTTATTTCCAAAATCAAATGTGTATATATATATATATATATATATATATATTTTTTTTTTTTTTTTTGCATGGGTGGTGTAATATATATGTATTCACATTTATAATGTAGTGTCAGAACTGTGCGTATATTCTTAATATGATATCTTTATTTAAATGACTCGAAATCTCGTTAAAATAAATGTTAGTATTTAATCGAATATAAATATCAGTTAGCATATCATCTCGATATCATCTCGATATCATCTCTCGATAAATGGAGACGACCGTGATCTCTACAACGACTACCACGACGACTGGTGGCGTCTAATGGCTTTATTGTATCCAGCAAAAGCGAGATTTAAATCATGCCTGCCTTGGAACTTATCCCACGTGTAGACATGAGCAAACTGTGCGTAGTTTCGTTAGCATAAAGGAGATACGTCTTTCTTGGAATGCGTGTGTATATATATATATGTATACATATTTACATGTGTATGCATGTATATATATATATATATATATGTCTCTTTTCGTCTCAGCATATATATATATGTATATATGTATTTATATATATCTATCTAAGAAATGTTCCTTAGATATGGATTTATTTTTATATAAGAATTAATTAGGTTTGTACAAAGTTCTCTTATAATTTCGTTTATTACCATTACATTATTTTCATACATTTTTCATAGAAAATTATTATCGTGAATAATCATGTAATTCATGTAACGTTTCGACAATATTACAAACACGTTTATGCATATTAAAAGGAATTGATTCTGAAAGAAATAAAAAAAAATGTAAATGTAGGCGAAGTCTCTTTTGACTGATTCCTGATTGGCCAATTCTTACTCTCTACATTGATATTATCCAAATAGAATCTCATAAAGCATTACTTTCATGATTCTCTATTTTTAAAAATTTCCATCTTTCTATCTGTTTTGATAATTTTAATGATGGTACCTCTGATATTTTATATCGAGTCGTAGAAATATTCGCGTTCAAATAAAGGAACCAAAAATAAGCTAACAAAGATTTCATTGATCGGGTATGCGTATGGATTCGCGTTCTCCTATTGGAATCTAGATGACTTTGACCATTTGAATCTTTTACCGCGCATATATCACGTGCTGCTTCGTAGGCGCCTGGCCGAGAGACTACGGATCGAAGATTCTTTTTTGCTTTCTTTGCTCTTCAAGGCCGTAACTAGATTCGAACGATAATTGCTTAGGATTATGAATTAGAAATATCTTTTGATATTGTTGATATTATTTTCCTTGAAATGACATTACAATATTTCAGAAAAATATTATGGCATATAGAGAAATATTTCAATTGCTACTTCAAATTTTTAGTTTTATTTTTCTTCCTTATTTTTATCGATGTTAATAATTATAAAAATATGAACTCCTATAATATGATTAAAATACGAGCGGTAATTTATTCTTGTCGAAATTAAATGAGTTGAGAGAGTATACTATTACAGAGTTTATATATTTCTTGTCATATATATATATATATATATATATATATATATATAATTACTTATATAGAAGGTAATCACGTTATATGTTTCTTATTAATTTTAACATCTAATGAATTCTTAATTTTCTTATAGAAAAAAATAAAAGACAGTTTCGTATTCAATTAATAAAAGTTATCAAATAACTCATTTTTTGTTAATTATTTTACACGATTTGCTTTGTATAATCGAAAGCTTTACCGATTCTTTGTTTACATATAATATATAAGCGTATGCAGTTAAATGTATAGAGAAATCATGTATCATGAGAATTTTCACATGAACGACCAAGTTGTATTGAGTACAAAAGCAGTGTATTTATTACAGATCCACGATCATTAACGGTGCATTAGTGGATTTCGTATTTGTAAGAAGAAAATAATTTTTTATCAATTTATCTTATCTTTTAGAAAAAAGTGTGGTTATGTTTCGAGAATATTGATATGTATTTGGAACGTATTTGAAATGTGATAATGAATTAAGAAGCTAATACTTTTCTATTCGTAAAAAAGATTTGACCTTTCCTTTTCTTTTTTTTAAGAAGTCGATTACAATGGTTCTTATTCATATATTATGGATTTTAATCGTTAGTAAAATAGCGAGATTGAAAACTATGCTTTTTCAGGCATAATCACTTACTCGTCTATATGAGAGCAAAGATGTATTGTATCTTTGTTACATTTAAAAATTCTCGATAGATGATTAGATTTTTTTTTATATACGATAGAACTATTGAATAATCTTATAATTCTATTAGATCGTAGATCCACTGATGCACTATTAATGGCCGTTGGTGCATATAGTAAAGATGCATCTATACATATATACGAATGTAAATACTGTAAATGCAATTTTTAATTTTTCATTAATTATAAAAGCATAAATTGATGTAATAATTAATGCATTGTGTTTACGATATTTTAGAATTTATTATTGAATATATTAAAATATATATAAT